GTACTCGTTTAAATGAAATCGGAAACCTCTCGTGTGTTTCGATACTTATCAGCAACTATACGATACTATAAAGTTCATTTAGCCACTTCAGAGTAAATCTATTTGGAATGTTCAATATTATGACCACTATAAGACAATAATTAAAAAATAGCTAGAGAAATAGCAATTCAAATGTATTCGATAGAAAAGAGAATGATACACTGGATCAAACATGTTAGTAATTTAACAATAAAATATTAATTAGTTAGACAAAAACTAAATTATTATATTTGTACCTTTCAAAGTGCAAACAAATCGACTATATTCGTTTTACGTGTTATTTTAGATCGTTCTCAGAAGAATTATTTACATTGTTGATAATAGAAGAATACTTGAATACATATTTTAAATCAATGTTTTGTGGCAAAAATTCATAGAAAAATGTTATACTCATTCAAAGCTTCAGCATTGTAATTTGATTGCGAAATACTTGAATCGTCAAATGATTTCTTTTCAATATTGACTTAAGTTATTGTGTCTACTAAAGATAGTCAAGCAAAGGTAAAAAACTAAATCTAGCAAAATTTATGGTTTGGAATTTATAAGCAGAATATCATGATACTGAATATTTCTTTTTATCTATGGAGGTCCTGATTTGTGAGAGTAGATATTGAAAAATCAAGCACATACTTTAGAAAAACAAATTTAAAATATTGACTACAGAAAAGTGAACATTTTTTACTGAATGAACTTATGAATTATACATTGTAAATATTATAGCTTATACATTATAAATAATTAATAAATATTTCTTAATAACAATATTACTTTTTGAAATAAATAGCTTGGCTTACTGTTATGAAACAAAATCTGATCGCTCTTGATCAATATCAATAGAGTAAATAACTCGATTCAATTAATTTGATTACAATTGACCATGCAAAATGTATTTATAATTTTCATTTAAACCATACGGTGATAATTTATCATTCAAAATAAACACTAATAGTACATTTACTTCTCAACATTAAGCTCAAACAAATCTATAAAACCGAAAATTCAAACTGAAATAAAATAATTCGCGCATAAATCTATTTAAAATTCAACAGCCATCCGAGTAAGAAATATTTAGTTGAGATACAATGTGGATAACTTTTTGTCGGCGGATTATTCTGAAATTCCTTTTGTTTATGTTAAGCGTATTGAAAAATATTTAAACAAACCTATGCGTTATTTTACATATTATACGTAACGCAATTATTAATTCTGCCGGACACCGTGTACAGATTGTTGAAAAGTTTCAGGTTTACAGTCCATACATGCCTATTATCCGGGTCAGATAACAGGTATATTCATCAGCAACCATTACTTCTCATAGAAAACTTAAAAATCGTTTCCCGGGAAAACTTTGCAGGTACCATTGGCGGATTTCTTTTATGTTGTTACACTGTTTCGCTTTTATATTCTTATATATTTTTGTTCGCAAATCCTTGATAAAATGTAAGTAGCTGCGTCTTTTATTACCGGTCTACAGACTACACGTATGTAAGTTATTCTGAAACATGCGGGCTGCCATCGGTTCATCATAGTGTAAATACATGTGTATGTGTGTTTGTGATAATTTCTACGAGTTTGTTGAGTATAAACACAGACAATTTTAGCAAACAACATTATCGGATGTGATCACGGGAAAGTGGTAAGCATGTAATGACATCAATGCGGGTTTGTCGAGATTTTCCCCGACACCCTACCCCTCACAGCTACCCTTATAGCGTGTAAGGTGAATTTCCATTCTTACTGATTAGTAGCCACCCACATTACGCGTCAAGTACTCTAGACAAACTGTCGTGTTCCCTAGTCTATTCGAAATATAGATAAAAAACAACTATTGGCTGCAGCGATACGATATGTAATTTAAACAGAATAAAATCCAGCGAAAAATAAAAGTGATGTTTGTTGAAAAGTAAATACACGTGCATTTACGTCATTTGCCTGTTCTTGTTAAACTGTAAAATATTTTACGTTGGAAAAAAAAATATATTGTTATTGATGTATACTATTTTATCGGTTGCCGAAAAACGGCATTTTATTGAAAGTGATATAAAAATTGATTATTGTTAGCTACATAACATTGGTTTTATGCCTACCGGATTTCTAGAAATAAAATTCCTAGTCTCGTCCGCGAATCTTTTAGTAATATTAACTCTAAGATAAAATACAAAAACTGTGCAAATCAACATTTATTTGAATCGAAATACTTCCATAAAAAATAAGCGACTGACCAATACACAAAGTTTATGTTAACATTTTTCAATAACAAATGTTGATTGTTTTTAGCGACTAAAATTACTTTTGCTTTTTATTGGAATATAATTTCTAAACCGGATTGGATTCGACTTAATAAAACGAATAATTTACCGACATGATAATAATTTTATCTGTACTTTCACGAGTCACCAACTTACACGTTTCTTGGATTACCTTAACAGTGCAATAAAATTTTATGTAATACTGCAAGTGTGATGTGTTTGTTTTATGTTACCAATACATTTCGCAGTTGCAATTTTATTTTATTCGAAGGGGATGGAAACCAAATTAAATGTTTATTGCCCGTGAAGTTTAATACTTAACACGATTAACGATTTGCGTTCGATCGAGCATCATTTGTTTTTCAATTGGGGCAGTGTCTTCTGTGTAAAAAATGAGAATAGAGTAACTGACAATTTCACCATTTCTCTGCTGATTAAGTTTTTATAACCCACTCGTATTCTATATTTGACAAGTATGTTTGCCTTTTACTTAAAATATTGGTAGTTTATTGCACCGAATAAAAACTATCCACAAATAGAATATTAATCACTGAACCATCTACGCGGGTGAAAATTCCAAGCGCTATTTTCTTGATAATTACGATTTTTCTCGTACAATGTCGAACTTGAAAATAACAGTTATTTTTATGAATAATTGCAACCGTCGAAAGCGAATACGTAGCTTTACAAATGTTTTTATTGTGTTCGCAGTGATCTGTGTAAAAAATAATCCGACTTGTATTGTTCTCACCTACGCCTTTTATGTTCTACATATAATTTCGGCGTTGTTGAATTTTGCAAATCCCCAAATACCTTCGTGTCACGGTTGGTTAGTTGCACGTACGGCGCACAACGTTGGCGATTTCCGAGGTATTTGTCCCCGCTGCCCTGTATGTGTCCAACCTGTACACACGATACACACGGGGGAACAGGAAAAATTCCCGAAACGCTAATAACACAAACACGCACACAAATGAACGTGAGAGGCTGTGGCAATCAGCCCGTTGTGCAGAGACAGCGATAACATTGCCCCTGGGGACCACTATTGTACACAGTGTAAAGTGACGATGGATACATTGAGCAACAAAGGTAAATGGGCAAGATCTTTTTTGATTTTGCACACAAACGCATACGTCCGTGCCATGTATGCGTACGAATGGACATGGACGTGCGCGCCGCAGCTTACCCAACAGCACCGCAGTTACTGGAGATTGCATCGGCCCTGTTTAACACCTACCTTATCGCAGGTACCCTGTACTCCGATGTACACACTTTATTGTACATCTACGTGTACAAATGGTTACTTGTGTATATTTACCGACTTGACGACAACGGTTCGTTTAACCCGCAGTGACTAACTTGACGCACATAATATTATTTATATGTATTGTGCGCGCGAGATGCTAATGTTCCTGATGGAGGCAAACTCGGCGCGAGGCATATAAATAATATTTTTTTCCGCGTATAACGTTTTTGGAAGCAATCGTTTTTATGCTGTGCCGTCGCCTGTTCCACCCTCGCGACCAATACTAAACATCACTTTGCACGCCAATCACATTGCAAATATGTGCGTTCGCAATATTGCGATAATCATCTTCGGCGTCGCTGTTCTTATATTACATTACGGCACACACACTGTCGCTAATGACGTATGAATATATTTGTGCAAAATCAAATAAAACGCACCGTCACTACTTAACCGGGTAAACGACTATGTTTGGGGGAGTATATTAGTAGTAACGTTACGTGTTATTGCTGTAACGCGCGGCCAACCGATAGAATACATTAGTTAGTTACATTGAGTGTAACTATAATAAAACCTTATTTCAAAATAACGGCGGTTTAATTTTTGGAATCTAAAATCGAATATTTTTCAAAACGCTTATTATGAAATTCCATTGAGAAATTCCAACTTGAAAATAACACGATTCATCTAAATCGATACATTTTTTTATTGGCACGCTGATTCTTGTTGTACACGTCATTGAATATTATCAACGAGTTACGCAGATTTTTACTATAAAAAGACTTGACGTCTATTATTTCAAAAGGAAGTACTGTTTTGATTTTTCCGAGAAAACCATAAAACATTTTATAAAAAGGGCAAAAGAAAATGTGTATTGATTAACGAATCTACCTACGCAGCTTTACTTTACTAGATTCCGGACGAATGGAAACCCGAGCATTTGACACTTATTGCTTTATGAGTAAATACTTTTCTTATTTATTTAGTTAAGTAAAGAATAGTAGTGATATCGAATTTGATTTTACTATTGTTAGTCTTTTGAATTGTTGAACTATGCGTTCTAATTCGTTAAGCTGGTAAAATATTATTTGAGTGTTATTTAAAGTTAACGGATTACTATGGATTAATATTATAATGTTTAGACTTTTCTGTTAATTAATTTATTTGAGAGATTTTCAATGTTTCGTTGTATAATAACATTAGTTATTGTATAATTTAAGGAGGAAAGATTTAATTATTATTTTTAACAACAGACGCCTACAAATATATGACTTTTTTTACTAGGAACTTTTCAAAGCTAGTAATAAGCTAAAAAACAAGTTGTTTTAAATTGAACCGAATTCGAATGTAAAATATATTTATTCTGAAGTGCTGCATTGTACCACAATTTATATTCTGTGATGGTTCGGAGCTCTATTCAAACCTCATATTTAGTAAAAGTTGCTTATAAATAAATGTTTACTCACCCGGATCGTCTTGTTCTTCTTCGCCTTCATCGGATTCTTCAAAAAATTCTGTTTCGTCAAATTGACCTTCGGTTTCTGATTGTCGTAATGCAGCTACGCTGTGTTGAAATCGACGGTCATTAATTCCTTGTGTATTAAGTCGTTCATTACTTTCATCGTAGTAATCCAAAATATTATCTTTTGTAACCGGTCCTGCATAAGATATGCTTTTTTTATTATCGTGGCGATAACTGAGATACATTGCATCTATTGATTGAGATATGATTAATATCAACAATAGCTGATAGCTGATATGCTTTAGCTTATGTGCCATCGAATTTAACGATATCAATCTCCAATCGTTTACCTAAAATACAAAATAAACATTATAAAAGTTTTCAAAAAATATTCATTAAACCATACAAAGTGATTCGCTAATTATGTATTCAATAACTATATCATAATATCATCCAAAATATTTTTTTTTCAATTGTTATTAGCTTTAAAAGATTAACAGTATTTATTAAAAAATATTTTTTTGTTAGAGCCGAAAAAGAAGAGCGGCTCATAAATGTTTAATTATAAAAACATACAGTCTCGCGTTTCATCCCCATCCTTTATTATTAAGTGTAAATAATTCCCAAAATAATAGTTCAATAGTTGATCATAATAGATCATTTATTCATTGGCCAGTTAAACAAATATATTTAAAAAAGTAATCATTGCAATTTGTGGAGAAAAGATAAGGAGATAGAACTCTTTTTTTCCTTAATAAAAATGTTCAGAATACCAATAAGTTTTAAAAAGAAAAAATAATTTTACATTTTTTTTTTATAATTTTGGAGATACTACGTGAGACAACAGTTAGCAAATCTCCCAATTAGGTTAAAAATCAAAATATTCTAATTGTAGCCAACACGCAATTTATTTAATATTATAAATTATATGATCATGTAGAGTACTAATTGCTTAGGTCTATTAAAACCTTACAGGGGCGTGGTTTTTGGTAATTAATAAAATAATTATATATCGTTACAAAGTTACCACACCATCTAATATAGAAACACAGAGTAAAATGCTTCAAGTAAATAATGGTCAGATACAAACATATTACAGCTTACCAAATAACACTTTTAATTATTTTTCAATCAGATTAATACGAAAAAAAAATTTCCTAAACGTTTTTAAGTTTAAAAATAACAAGTGAGATAATATTGAGATTTTAAATTCACTGTCTAACTAAATAATATTTGATGAAATTCGAATAGCAATGAAAATAAATTTTCGTTATAAAAGTGAATAAGTAATCGGAATTCCTTAAATAACATAATCAAAAAAAAAAAAATGTCTTACGGATTTTTTAATTACTAAATTATTAATATTAACAAAAATTATTGACTTGAAATATTTCTTATTAAGTTTACTTTTAATTATTGAATGTGTAATTAATAAAGGGCAAAATATATTGTATTTCGAGATATCTGTACTACTTATAAATAAATACTAAAGTATTATTTCTTTTTAAATGTTATTTTTTACAAGCAATCGATATTTTTCTAAATTTATTGATGATATTGTTGAAAAAGGTCATTTGTACAAGCCAATGGGCTGTGTCATGTCGGCATTATTGTGGTCATTAGTACTGTATGGTTTCTGACAAACGATAGACTGGGTAGACGTTGTTTCCGAAAACCGGATTTTAATGTACTACGACAGAGGTGTAAAGAACGGCTGGATGGTGACTTCCGGTGCCGGTTGTGTTTCCGTACGATTCGTGCGCCGCTACATTATCGCATATTGCCTATGCAAAGCATTTAATGTTGCACACACTGTATCCAAAACATTATGATGAACTATTTAACACAAATCTTGGTTGTAATTATCGTTGTCACGTTCTTATCAACGCGATAATCGCAAGATATCGTTCACACGCGTAGGTACACGCCAGTCGTACCAATTCAAATTAAAAATAACCCGAATGATCAAATGGTACAATCCACATAAAAGTGTTTTGGGTCAAAATATCCTGAGTGCTAAATTTATGTATTTTGGCGCCATTCGTTCGTTTTGTTCATTATTGTTCGACATAGTATTAATATAGTGTATAGGAGTCTCAATTAAACTTTAATGTTCGAAAAAATATTAATAATTGCGACCCAGTGGAATAAATTACTGTCTCCTAAAAAATGTCTTGTGGACGTTGCCCAACCACGCGTATACAAGTGTATATAAGTTGCAAAGGCAAAATTTAATATAACCCTCCTTAATGTTATTATTTTTTACAGGCCGACGAGCCGGATAGATTATTTTTATTATTGCATATAATTATTTTAATACCCACCTATATGGTAGTAGCACCCTCTTGATTCTCTAGAGCGCGATAATAATTAATTAAACACGACAGATAGTGGGAACTTTATGCAGGTTAATAATATATACAATATAATATTATTAGAAGGGAAAGGACGCATAATGAAATAAAAACCTTCTCCAATGTCCTCATAACACCGGTCACTTTCTCTTTATGCGACAATACAATACACCTCAGTCTAACTACATACAAAAAGTTGCTGGTACACTTGTGTAGCACCCTTTGCGTACCCACATATATCTATAAAACTACACGTACCAGTGTAATGCTAAAAACGATAATGTGTTTACACTGAAAATTTTGTTTCCTGCCACCGTCCAGGATTACAAAAGCCGCAGGTAAAGTTCTCACTCTACTTAACCGTTGGCTGAATATTATATACCGTCGCAATATACTACTACATTGTACTGTATATAACGAAATACCATCTAATACTTTAATAGTAACAATTATAAAACACCATTGTTATTACTATAACTGTACCCAATAAAGGCATTAGAGGAAATTAATAAATACAGGCACCTTCGTAAACGGATGTATTGTGTTTTAGGCATTTTACGATGGCGACGTTACGCGTCACCATTAACGTTAAGGTTATTTTCATTAGTACACATTTACTATACTATAATACAACGTAAAAGTATAATCGTAAAATAAAAACAAAAAATAACTCGGCAAAGAAATAAACAAAAACTCGAGGAAAACAATCCGACGATAGAGTATAAAAAGTTGAGAAGTCGGTAGTGTGTATGTGTAGGCTCGATAATAATAAAAAGTCTCGGCTTCAGTCCCTGCGTTCGAAGGGCAAGATAAGAGGGAGAGGAATAAGGGTGATGGGAGAAAGGAAAAATAATCGTAAAAAAAGTCAAGTAAAATAATAATCGTAAAACAAACAGTAGTTACTGTAGTTGTCCTGCAAGCCGACCAACCGAGTCGAGTTTTCCATGTTCTGTGCAGGTATAGGAACAACAGGAATAAGAATGGAAAAGTAGCATATAGAAGAAAGGTGGTAGGATACAGAAGTCAAAGCGTGTAGGTGAAAAAAAGACACCGCCTCACACCATACTACTTTTCTGTTTGTGATGCGCTATAATGCAACCCATCAACAATTATTAACATTTTTAAAAAATATACAATGAGTACTCAACACTTGATAAATTTTCGATTCTTGATTCAATTGTACTCAATTGACACACGTAAACTTAGGTTAACATTACACATACACATTGGTGAATGATATTGTTTAAATGGAAGTTTTTCTAAAACTTTACAATAATATCAGAAATATAAATAAATAGAAGAAATAGTTCTATGAGCGGCGGCCAGTCAGTAATAAAAACTTGATAGTACAGCTTTAGGTAGCTAACAGATGAGAAAAAAAGGAACATATATAAATATAAACAAAACCGAGACGGTTTACCACGTCTGAAGGGCAGTAAGGATTACGGTAATAAAGTTGTAGCTGCGACCCACGTTGGCCTTGTGATTCAGTTAACCCTATCCTCGACCTATAAACACATGCACGCACATTTATATAACCTATGTAATAGTTTTACTACTATTTAAGTGTCGCCAAACTTTTCTTTTTTGTACATTACATATTTTGATAGTCTTTCACACAGCTTAGCAAAAGATACATAACATTATTACTCTTATTAGTGTGCTCAAATTTACTATAAAATACATACATATATGCAATTTGTTTTAATTAATTTACTTACTACAATATTATGTGATTTATAATATTAAACAAATAAAAAAAAATTAGGATTTCTCAAAAGCAGTTGAGAAATAAAAAATAATTAAATTTTTGTTCATATAAAAATGATTTGGTTTAAATAACTCGATATTAAAGTGTACTTTAATCTTTTTTTTACTAATATTTTCGGGGAAAAACATCGATTTAAATTTGCTAAGTGAAAAAAAAAATTAATAAAAATGAAAAATAACAATAATTTTCAAGTAAACAAATTTAATTATATTTAGAGTTTTCGATATTATAATATCAATATGTATGTCTTCTTATTAATGTCAACAACCTATGTATTAATAATTTATCTGTTAATCAATAAAAATAAGTTTTTTGAGAGTTAGTTGCATGTGAATATTTTGTCCACAAGGTAAGTTAATATTTACTATTATATGATTTTAATTTAACTATTATTGTAAATATTTTGGTATTTTATTACTCTAAACTTTCTAAAAAGTACAGTTTCAAATATTTTAACTTAAATTTATTACAGTTCAGTAATTCCTCATAACCAACTCAATAATAATCCTAATATTGTATACCTGATGTTAGAAAAATAAAGTTAATTTGTCATTTTAAATACATTTTTGAATTTACCAATAAAAAAAAGAAGTCAAAGTCCAAAACTTTAAAATGTTTTTCATGATACTAACAATGATGTTGCAAAATTATATTCTGAGTTAAAATTTTACTATTTTTATTATCTGTGATCTTTTGATGTATCGTTGAGAAAAATCAGTCCAATGAGAGCTGAAAAAAAGTAGTGACAGACACAAAAAAATTAAAAAAATTAAACACTTAATGGTAAAATTAATACCTTCTCAGCTTCGCGTCGAAGCTAAAAATAGAATTACTAAAAAAAAAATTGTTTTTACACAGATTATTTTAACATAGGTAGCTTAAAAATGGTTTCATCATCAAAATATTCATTTTTTAATGATATCTTTTTGATTTTTTTTATTATTTTTGTGCAATTACAAAAAAAAATAACATCAGTCAACTTTGATAATTGTCTGTGTTCACGATACATCTGATATTTAGTTCAGTTAAAATGAACGTAATAAATACGCTTTTCTACGTCTTGTTCAATTTTAAAAATATTCTTGTACACACAGAAAAAATAATAATTCGTTTAATACATTTCTAAAATAAAAATAAAAGTGAATTTTATGAGAAAATTTTACAAAAAATATTATATTTATAAAAAATAATCAATTATCTGAATTCAGTAATTATATTTATAATC